CAAGGCTGGCTGGGGAATTCTAGGAGTTGAAGCCCACCCATCTTCACGCTGCCAAGGTTGAGAAACCTTGCACATGGAACATTTGGGAGGAATTCACCAAATACTTTTAAAAGCAATGAAAAGGCCCTGCTGGGGATGTGCCCCACCGTTGAGTCCTGGCACAGGGGGGCTCAGGGGGAAGGCGTCCCTTTGAGAAAGGAAGGGCTGGGTGGCTCTTCTAGAACAGGTCTGTTTTTGCGTCCTTCTGACGGCTGGGAGCCTGGGAGTCCCTGGGGGGGTTGGAGTTTGGCGGAGCAAGGAGGGGTTGGCAGGAGAAGAAATTGGGCAGCAGCAGGAGCGAGAAGCCGCCAGCCATCACAAAAGCGCCTCCAACCAAGAAGGAGGCGTTGTAGCTCCCGGTCACGTCCCGGATCCAACCTGAAGGAGGAGACAGTCTGTTACTGCGCGAGAAATGTCTTGATTTGGGAAAAATAACTGGTCAAAAGGAATTCTTCTGTAACAGGGTTCTGCAAAGGGGGGCCAGTTGGTCTGGGGGGAAGGCTCCAGGCTAGGAACTGGGAGACGGCGAGTTCGAGTCCCGTCTTAGGCAGGAAAGCCGGCTGGGTGACTTTGGACCAGGCCCCCTCTCTCAGCCCAACCCACCTCACAGGGTTGTTGTTGTGGGGAAAATAGGAGGAGGAAGGAGTATGAGGTATGTTCGCCACCTTGAGTTATTTATAAAAATCGAAAAAAAAACTTTAAAATTGTGGGGAGAAGAAAACAGCAGCATGCCAGTTGTAAAAAAAATCCTTTTTGAGCACTGGGACTTCCAAAATCATACTTTAAATTCAGTCTTCTCCTTCCTGGCATCTTCCAGGGACCCCTAAGAACAGCTCTCCTCATCCCAAGAAAATTCCATTTGTGAGTTTTCTAATAGGCACAAATCTTGCACATAGGGTTCCCCTGATAAAATGCATTTTTGTACATCCTTTTTATGAATGCGTGTAAGCACAAATGCACACGTACACACACACAGACCTACAGCAAACTTTGCTGCAAAATTGCACCTTGTAAAAATTTATCTATGGGGTTGCTAAGAGTTGACAATGACTGATCGATCGATCGATAACGAAGTTTTAAGATCTTTGTTCCAAAAGGCAAGCAAGGGAATTTCTCCCCCATCGCTCCAACTGGTATCCAGTTCCCTCCCTCCTCTGCTGGCCCTGCTGGCTAGGCATTCTGGGAGTTGTAGTCCAGCCCCATTTTCCCAGCTGGGTTTTCTCACCTGACAAAGGGGGTCCCGCTAAGGCCGGAGCGCTTTCCAGGAGGTGGATGACCCCGATGGCTCCCATAATCTGCTCTGTCCCCACAATCTCCACCAGGCTGGAGAACTTGAGGGGGATCACGGCACTGGCCAGGAAGCCGTAGCAGATGCTGAGGACCATCAAGGCGACGTAGCTGCCTCCCAGTGTGAGGGCCAGCATGGCAAAGCCAGTCAGGAAGGTCCAGATGGCCAGGTGGTGGGACAGTCTCAGGGTGCGGGTGCAGCCCGCCAGCCAGCCGGCCACGATCCTGCCTCCAATGTCGGCGATGCCCACCGCAGACACCAGGAAGGCTGCCTGGTACTCATCGAAGCCCCTCTCCCGAGCATGGGGCACGAGATGGACAAAGGGGATGAAATAGCCGGTGGTAATCAGCACGCCGGCCACGCCAAAGGTCTGGAAGGCGCGCTGGGACAGCAAAGGCAGGCCCAGCAGGGTGGCCAGCTTGTCCCCTCGGCTGTCTGGCGAGGGAGGCCCCTGAGAGTTCTCCTTGGCCCGGGGCAGCGGCCGGAGGAGGGCACCGCAGGGCACCAGGTGGAAGGCCATCCCGGCCACCAGCAGGAGGGCCCCCCGCCAGCCGTAGGCATCCACCAGGAGCTGGAAGAGCGGCGAGAAAGCCAGCGAGGCAATGCCGGTGCCGGAGAAGGCCACCGAGTTGGCCAGGGCACGACGCCGGTCGAAGTAGCGAGCCAGCAGGGCCATGGAGGGGGAGAAGATCAGGGCCCCCCCGATTCCTGATGGGGGAGAGAGGAGAAGTTAGTGAGGCCACCGCAAAAGCCCCTTTCCTCCGCCTGAATCTGCGCGTGACCACGTTGGAGGACGGAAGACCCTCGCTGCCCCTCGTGGTGCCCGGCATCCTTTCGAAGGCTCGCAGCAGAATACGAGCCTGGGATATAACGCGGAGACCAGCAACTAAAACCCCATTCATATTTTAATCCTGACCCCGGAGCCTGCTCAGTGAGTGGAGGGATCGTGTGAAATCCTGATTCTGAACCTTGATTGTTGGCTTCCCTGTATCCTGGCTGGGTTGGTACAACACTTGGGCCTCCAAGTGGGGAGAATGCCATCGACGGTATGTTGGCTTGCAAAGTACGCTCTGGATTCGAGAGCCAAGCTTGGTGGGAGTGTGTGAACCCTGTGGGAGAAACCAGCCTCGCAGCATCCTGGCCCAGATCCGCCCAAACTGGAGGTTTACCCTCCTTCCAGTCCACAGTCACCTTTGCAGGCGTTGCAGAGACAACTAAGCCAAATGTAGGATCTAAAACAAGCCACAATGAGCACCTGAACGCCGCTGCTGCAGGGTAGGGTGCTGAAGGGGGGGGTTGCCTTGCAGCCCCGCTAGAAAGACACCATTAGCTCGAAATGAGAGGGACACGTTTGCAGGAGACTTTGAGGGTATTCAGGAAAGGGTCTACAGCAGTGTTGTCCAAACGTGGCCACTTTAAGATGAGTGGACTTCAACTCCCAGAATTCCCCCGACCCCCCACCCCTGCCGGGGGGATCTGGGGGGGGGAAAAAAACCCCCTTTAAATGGCCCCGTTTTGTCAACACACACT